AATTATCAATAATGAAAGTTATACATGACTCCTATCCCATTGGAGGACATGCATCCTACCACCTCTTGACTTTCAGATTTAAACCCTAAATCTTAACCACAAACACTAAAATCTAAACTATAAACCCCAACCCTAAACCTTAAACCCTATAACCTAAAGTCTAAACCATTAAACCCTAAAACCCTAATTCTAAACCTACCCTAAAGACTAAACCCCTAAACCCTTGAATCCTAACCCTAAACCTTAAATTTATTGTTTTAAGATGTCTTTACTTGAATCCATGTCCTCCAATGGGGTAGGAGCCAAGTATTTTTCAACATCTATATAACAATTAGTTTGGGGGCGTCTTGGTAAAGTGATAAATACTTTTTCTAAAAGACCAAAATAACCCTCTCAACAACTATAAAATGACTACTTTTAAGAGTATTTTGGTTAATTGAATTATTTTCAACTCCTATAAATGCCCTTACCGTCTCTCATTCTCATTACACTAATTCTCATACTCTCGTATACTCTTTCATACACCCCCATACTCTCTTAATCTCTTGAATCTTGATACTTATTAGTCCCTAGTTCTCAACTTTATTCAAGTTTCAACATGGAGAGGACTTATTCAACTGTATCAAGTTAGTAAATTAAGAGGCATAGAAGCTTTATGAGTTGAAATAAAGTTGGGATACCAAATCGACAAACCAATTAAGTGATAATTAATTATCACTTTTTTAGGATTTTAATATTTCAAAATTTTTAAAATGATTGGTTCCTCTCAAAATCCTTTCCCTACAACTTGGATGATGTCTAGTCATAATATGATAGCATTGATATGGGTGCCAATGGTATTATTGTTTATAAAGCCACTCCTATTATTAGTGCTAGGGGTGGTAAGAGAAATACCGATGAAGTTTGGACTATGCTTAATATAGAAAATATTGAAGGAAAGGGAAAATGAACAATCTGCAAAAAAAATTATAGATGTGATTATAATTATGATAATAAAAAAGGTAGCACTAACGATTTGGTTAGATACATGGCTAGTCATTTGATAAAAAAAATAATAATGAAAATCAAACACAAATTGGCTAGATACATGGCTAGTCATTTTGAAGAACCTTTTTATTAGTTGAAATCCCTATGCATAAAAAATTTTTACAACAATCTATAAATTCCTAGTTTAAAAAAGTTTCTAAAAATATATTATAGACTTAGAGCAGATGCTTTAATTTTTTTTATTCATATAACAAAACTAATTTCTACTTTATCAAATCTTAATTCTAAATTTGCATTTATATCTATTATTTGGACTTCCAAATATAATATTAGTTATAAATGTGTCATAGGGAATTTTATTGATAACTCATGATTTTACAAAAAAAAAAGGTTCATAAGACTTGAATAGCTACATACTAGTTCAACAATTGCCGCAAGTATTTTAAATACTTTTCATACTTAAGGTATTGAAAATAAAGTTATTTCCATCAGTTTTGTTAATACTAGTAATAATGATTCAACTATAAATATTTTAAAATTTCAATTAAAACTATTTTTTTTTAAATGGAAAATTATTGCATATTAGATGTGCATGTCACAATTTAATATTGTGTACAAAAATCTTTAAATATTATCTTACCTCATGTTTTAAAAATTAGAAAATGTTAAAAGAATTTAAATATTTATGCCATCAATATAGAATAAAATATAAAAAAATGTATTAGATGCTCAATATATATGGAATTCTACATAATATATGTTACATAGTTAATCAATTGTATATATTTCGTGGGTGTTTTGTAAAATGTAGAAATGATTAAAAACATTGATGATGCAATGGAAATTAAATTTAAGAAATAGTGGGAAAATATGTCTATTTTATATTGTTTAGCTACAATATTAGATTGTAGGATTAAAAAAGATGGTGTAGATGTTTTACTTGATATTAGAACAAAAAAAAAAGATGAAGTAAAAAACTTATTATTTGAATTGTATAATATATATGAATTACAAACATTAGTAAATAGAAGAATTGTATAGACTCCACTACTAAAAGCACTAGTGTTGGTAGTGGAATAGAGAAAGTTTGGTTATAGTAAATATAAGGTAATGATCAATTGCCACTTCATCAACAATTTCATTTACTTAATATCATTTTTATTTATAAGCTAATTTAACATACTTCTCACATATGAGGAATTACATAATTTGACATTTTTGCCTTGTAAAAATAACATGGAAATTTAGTTAGTGCTTGCCATTGTGGCATGCGATCTACCAACTCGTCTAATATCCAGAGTTTTATCTAGAGATGACAATTTTCCCCATTTCTACAATCCCAACGGGGTGAAGGGGATGATTTCCCCCTTGCAAGGATGGGGATGGGGATATTTTCATTCCCATTGGCAGAGACAAGGCGTGGACGGGGAGAGTATTCTTTGCTCATGGGACCCCAATTCCTATATATTAGTATTTTTTAAAAATACGGTTGAGTATATTTAGATCTTTTTTATATGATTATAAAATTTAACTATTTTATTTTTAAAATTTTAAATAAAATAAAAACAAAAACAAAAACAAAAACAAAAACAAAATGATTAATATCATAAAAAATCATAGGGAGTGGGGATCCTCATGGGAATGGGGATGGGGATAGGGAAAACCCTTGTCCTTGCCATCGGGGATGGGGACGGGGACAATGATAAGGATTTTCACTAGGATGAGGATGGGGAGTGGCTCCTTGTCCCTACCTCGTCACATGTTGCCATTCATAGTTCAATCAAAGTCTTGTTTTAGTACAAGTACCAAGGTATTAAACGATAAGAAAAGTATAAATGATGAAAATTTGGAAATATACATGTGTTTGAAGGATTGGATAAATGCAAATAACAAATTGCAAATTCAAGGACATGACATTTCAATCGGTCAAGATCAAAGAGATGGAGGAGGTGGAATTTGAAGAAAATACTAAAGTCAATATTTTTTGAATATTCAATTATTGTACAACATTTTTAAATCTATTACAAATTTTGTTTTTCAAATTTATTTAAAAGTTATTTGTGATTTTTTTTAACTTCCATTGTAAATTTTATTTTTGATTTTATTATACTATTTTGTTTAAATTTCACTGATTTTTTCAATTTAATTTTAATACTTCATATATCAATTGTATTCATTAAATTCAAATGAAATATTTTTTTTTGGAATTTTCTTTTGAGTTTTTTTGTCTATTTTGATAAATGGTTTTTGTTATTTCCAAAATTTTGTCATTTTATATTTGGCAAAAAAAAGTAAACAAAAAAGGAGCAGGCCATTGGTTCTACACGGCATGACACAGATCCACTTAGACTTGGGTTGTGTGTTGGTTCGGGCTTCCCTTTTGATCAAGGTTTAAAAATTCAATACAATAAACTCAATATGGGGCATATTGTATTATATCTTTCAAAAACAGATATAGGATACACATGGAAATCGGGTGTGTCGTCTTTTTTCATGTGTATTAGTAGTGTATCAACGAAAAAGATACGACCAAAAAAATGAAAAAGAAAGGGGGAAAGCAAATTGCTTTTCCATGAAATAAGCCTTCTTTCACCCTCAAACGACTCTACAACTCCAAACCTCATTCCTAGAGTGCTAGATTTGCTAAAATTTGCAAGAAACAAGTGTGAATTGTTAATTTTTTTTTTGAAGATTTTTCAAATTTTGAAAAAATATGGCAAAAATAGGTATTTTTTTTTAATTTTTTATAATATCTTGCGATTTCTTTTTTTTCTTGAATGTTTAAATTTATGTTGGTCTACATTTCTTACATTCAAAATCATAATTTTTTTTTTGTGTTATCTGTAGATTTATGAAAATTTCATGAAGATATTTAGGGAAAATATAAATTAACAAAAATTTGAAATTATAATTTTTCTCTGCCTATAAAGATTAAATATGTTTTAGATCTATGGGTTTATCTATCATATCCATAGAGCAATTGAAATTTATTCTTTAATATTTTTTTTTTATTTTTTATATTTCACAATTAAAAATAAATAATAATTAATTATATTTTATCTTTTGATCACAACAATTGGATATACTATAATTATATGGATGATTTATCATATCCACAAATCAATTGAAATTTCTTCTTTAATAACTATTTTTTTTTTAATTTTTATATCTTTAGAATTAAAAAGTAAATAATTAATTAATTATATTTTATCATTTTATCACAATGATTGAATATATTATAATTCTATGAATCATCTATCATATATACAAAGCAATTGAAAATTCTTCTTTAATAACTATTTTTTTGAATATATTATATAATGTTTATTTATTTTTTATAATTTTGTAAATAAATAATTATTAATTATATTTTCATTTAAAAGTTGTGCCAATGCATGTTTTATGGTTGGATAGGAGAGTTGGGTTTTCCCATTCCATAAAACATTAAAACTTAGGAATTATAATTTATAAATTATAGTTAAGCATGGGATTTTTAATGAAATTATAGTTAACTACAATATATTTCTTCATAAAACCATTAACATATATTATTTTAATGTATATACACCTCATTGAGGTTTTATATTTAGTTTTATTGATGCATTTTTATGATTTATTAAAGTATTTATAGTGTTTCCAAGAGTATCTATGCGTATCTTAGTTTTTCTCCGATACATGTGCATCCAAGGCGTATCCTGATACGTCTCTTAAAATTACCTTTCTGATACACTTACTGTTTCCGATACTTTAAACCTTGCTTTTAATGGATTCTGGTGCAATGTGGACAGGCCACAAAAAGGCCCGACACGACCAACATTCCACTTCTAGATGGCATTTTGATGGGCTAGTAATGATCATTCCAGAGTTAACCACTTCTGGACCCGTCCAGAATTCGGCCCGGCCCACTATTATAGTGAGGAAACGGGGGGAGGGTCAATATGGGAAGTTAGATTAGAGATAAGGATAAAATCGGAAAATAAAATTAGGGTTTAGGGGTCATGAGCCACTCAGGGATATAAGTATACTACAGCAGCCTTAGGGTTTGGGACCTCTAAACTTCCTGAGACTTAGGTGCTTCTCAGTCTCACAGTCATCTCCTTCTCTGAAATTCGGAGAAAAATGGTACCTAATCTTATCCGCTTTTGATGTGTTACATTCTTTACAATTGGTTCTATAATCTGTTCTGTGATCGTGCATCTTCAATTTGTATTTTTTGATAATCCTGGATTTAGAATTAGGTTTAAGGTTTCGTCGTGTTTTTTATGCGCTGTATGTATAAATGATTGAATATGTTGAGTTGAGTTGAGTTGAGTTAGTTGTTTCGTCGTCGCCATTTTTGATTCTTGATTATGTGTTTTGATGGAGAATAGGAGAAGAGGGACTATAGGGATTGCATGGATTTGAGTTATATTGCAAGAGCTTTAGAATCCTTTTGTCTTCCTTTAAAAGTCTCTGGGCAGTTTTAGAAAGGGCATTTAAATGAACCTCATATTTAGTTTTATACTTGGTTTCTATCTTTCCGGTTGGTCGTGTTTAGCTCTGTTGCATGAGAATGATGTTCCCTGGAGTTGGAAGTCTTGCAATTGTTGTTTACCGGTTAGGAAATCTCAAATAGGTATAGATTGTTGGTAATAAAGTTGTCCTAAGACTTGCTAGAAGTTCATAGCTTTGTAAGATGCTCACTACTGTGTTCAAATTATCATTAAATGTTTGTAATGCATTATGTGCTTAAGACTGGGGGATTCTATTTTTCTAATTGTCATTTCAAGTATGGATTGTTTTCCAATGTTTTTCACTGGTTGGATTTTTGTCAATCCATTTGTGTCTATTTTTGTGTGTGGTTTGGAAGTTTCGGTAGGTGGCACTTGGTGCTCTTCAGATTGAGACATGTAACTCTGATCATTAAGCTTGCATACATTTTATAACTTGCTTTACATTCGACATTGTCTCATTTTTTTGTGAGGAATATGATGATGTGGCTCCTACCTTAGATGAAATGAAATGGAGGTAGGAGTCTAGGAGGAGAGTTATTAGTTTGGGAGTGAAGTGGTATGCGAGGTGATGTGCTCCCCAGTTTGAATGAGAAAGAATTGTGGTAGGGGAAAGGTGATGCAAATATGGGATCAGTTTTTGCACTGCAAAATTTGCATTGGTAGTGAGTGCAAAAGTACAAGTTTTGTATCAAGTAAGAGAGCAAATCCTGGTCACAAGCAAATAGTTGCAAAACTGAACTGGGTGCAAAATTTGTATCTGGTTGAGATTTGCACTGCAAACAAACAACACATAAAGAATTCTTCAGGTGATGGGGCTGTTTTACAAATATTTTTCAGTTGACTGAGAATTCTGTTTCTGTTACACAGCCAAAGCAGATCCACGAGATCAAGGATTTCCTTCTGACTGCGAGAAGGAAAGATGCACGCTCTGTCAAAATCAAGAGAAGCAAAGATGTGGTTAAGTTCAAGGTCCGCTGCTCCAAGTACCTCTACACACTGTGTGTGTTTGACTCAGAGAAGGCTGATAAGTTGAAGCAGTCTCTTCCCCCAGGTTAGTTGCACTTGTTTTGGTTGGATTATGGTCGTTCTGCTTTAATATACTGTAAAGCGTAAACATCATTCTTCTATTTGTTAATGGTAAGTCAATGGTAAACTACAGAGCGTTTGGTTAAGTTCTTCACTTGCTCTTGTAGACATGACTATGGTTTTGTAATTTTAGGATACCTATTGAATCCTTGATATGTTCGTATATTGTAAAAACTGATATAATATTGCTGTGGTATGCATGATCTTGTTTTTGCCTTTTTTGGCTTGTTATATGATTTGAATATATTTGGTATGGAAACTCTACCGTCTGATGCTTTAAATATTACAACTTTACTGCCGGTACTTTATAAGCTTATAATTAGCTTGGAGAAAACACGGTAAATGACTGATTTGCCCTGATACGCATTACTGGATCTGTTTCTCATTGTTGTAAGATGAATTGGTTATGTAACCAATTTAGCCAGTTACATTGGGACCTCTACTCTTTGTGCAATTATACAAGGTTGTTAGTCTAGGTTCAGACTTCAATGCATCGGTTTTAGGGTAATTTTAAAATACAAGGTTTCCAACTTATAAGAGTTGGGTAATTTTAATTATGTTGTATGTTAATGACTACTCTGACATTATTGAATTATCAAACCAAAAGATGAAAAATTCGATAAACAGGCTATTTTTTTTATTGAAACTTTGAGCCTTGGTTGATTAACAAGATGACAAGATAATCACAAGCATGTATTCATGCAGTTGTAGTGCGTAATTCTGTTCTTGGTTGTCGTTCTTTATAGACTTCTAGTTATTTATTTATTTTCTTTTGCAGGTTTGAGTGTTCAAGACCTGTGAATTGGTAGTAGCGGACCTGAGCACATTTTTACGAGCAATAGTGAATAGGAATTTATCCGCTTTAGTTTTAGTGTGGAGAATTTTTAATTTCTACTCTTGAAGTTTGACAATATTATTTTTGGGCGATTTTTTGCCTTCATTTTGGTAAGAATATCGACTTTGCTGCGGCAGTTTTTTTAATTGCTTGCTCATTGGTACTTCACACTCCATCTCTGCACTCATTGTTGCTTGACTTGTGTTTACGTAATGTTTGCAATTGAAAAGAAATCCCTAATAATTTGACTATAGTTCAGTTAATCCGAAGCATTTTGTTTTAATCAACTCTTGGTCCATGATAAGAAAGCTTTCTGTTGCAAGTTAGGCTAAAGGGCAGACCCTAAATGGCCATGTGTTGATGCAGCGTGTAATTAATTACCTAAATGTACTCATAATTTAACATTGGATATAGTACTGAACAGATCAGAATGGTGGTAGGAGGGTGGAGGTTGATGAGCACCAATGATATCTTCAACGTCTGCTAATTTTTTCAATTCCCTAATTGTATAAGGGGGGAATTAATCTGTTGTGAGTTTAAGGAAATCTGTGAATTGTAAGGAATTTCCAATAAAACTGTTTCTTTGTTAACAGAAGGGTCCTTTTTATCACATTAAACTAGTTGGGGGATGGCCTCAGAACGCTCAGTCGCTCAGATGCATCTGCAGGAATCGTTCGTTCTGACTTATGATTCCCAAGGTGGTTGTACATTCAAGGAGCAAGTGAACAAGACCAACCTTTCACGGTTTTAAGATTAATGTTTTCCATTAGGCAAATTGGATGTTCTACTAGGAGCTTTTATCCAGGTTTAAGAAGTCGTATAACAAAAGAAATTCGATGCCACATCTGCAATCGGTTTTGAGAAACGCTGGGCCATCCTGAGATGTGATAATTTGAGCTTCTCCCAATGAATTGAAATCGATAGTTAATACACAGAAATTTAGGTGATGTTTGGAACGGAGGATGATTCCTCTTTGTGGATTTTTCAGAAATTGGTGATTTCGGGAATTGGGGATTTTTGAAAATCCATCGAAAATTGTTGTTTGGTATTATTTTTGCCATGTAAGCCAATTTTTGAAAAATTGGCATTTAATTTATTTGATACTGATTTTCAAGGACAAATTATTTTTGTACTAGAGTTAATATTCATTGTTATGATTGACATGGGCAATGGGTTTCCATCAAAAATCAAGGATCTTAACCATTCATTCCTGGAAAACGGTTTCCTGCCTCGGCCTCACACACTTTGCACACAGCTTTCACACTTCTCTCGTCTAGGAGAAGGACTCTTGGTTAGTTGGTGATACTAAAATCAAGACCTARCTTGCATATTTATCATTGAAGTATCAAACAAAATCTCATTTGTACCTTTAGGCTCCATTGGCTTTTATCCAAGTGTTGATACAAGTGAGAAGATGGGTATTATTTGAAAAAATAAATTCTTCATAAACCTAGATAAATCTGAAAAAATAACATAAATTTTTTGGTCAATGACAATCAAATCGGACTAACTATTCCTGCTTCAAAATCCAAAAAAAAAAACAAACCCTTAATATAAGTATAGATATAAACATATAGGGATATAGATTTCAACCAAAAGACTTGTTATATTAGATAAATAGAAAGTAAATGCATATGTGGTTCAAATTTGCCCAAAATAGACTGAGACCTCCCTGCCATCTCCTATTAAATACTTTCTTTTCTGGCTTCGGCGATGAAGAGAGAGAGAGAGAGAGAGAGAGAGAGAGAGAGAGATAGAGAAGAGATAGAGATGGAACCATCAAAGAAGGTTTTGGCGTTGATGATGGTGTGCATGGTTATGTTGGAAACTGGGGAAAGTTTATTCACGGCTTGCCCACGGGACTGCTATTACAAATGCATAAATTTTGAAAGACAATAGGTAAACAGAAAAAACGTTGCGAGCCATGAATCTTGCTTGGTGTTCATCCTATTGCGCTGCCTTCTCCTGCGTTGGCCATACCATGAAATAAAACCAAACAATTTAAACTCAAAAATATTCATAGTATCTCTCTTAATCCATGAAATATCTCTTGATTTTCTCTTAGTAAATGTATATGCCAGAACAGCAT